GTTCTTACACCTATAGAAGGTTTGCTTTTGTCTGAATTAGTAGATGAGTCTGTTGTTGCAGAAGAGAAATGATGAAATTTAGAAAAAAAACTGCAGCAGCGTGCAAAGAGACTGCAAGTACAACTCCCCCCCCCCGCTAATACATAAAAGAGGCTAAGACACAAACAAACAAATGCGTGCAAAGAGAAAATGCAAGTTATCACAAAAACAACTGCAAGTCAAGAAAGGCTGCAGAATGGCTCTACATAGCAGAACTGCTCCAGACCACTAGAGGGAGACAATCACTAACTTATATTGAACCAAACCCCAGCAAAGACAGAAATAATAAGAACCTCACTGCAGTTAACAGAAAGAAGCAATGAATGAGACATCATTGCACTCTGGAAATGAAGGGGGCGCTATTCCGGAATTGCTAACACCTTAAAGAAGTGGGAATTAGCAAGTTAACCTTATAATAACAAAGCTGAGATTGTGAGAAGTTCCTCCGCTGATTAAAAGTGTGTTGTGAAATAATGGAGGGCTGCAGGATGATCCAGGGGGTAGCACTGTTGCCTTGCTACAAGAAGGTTCTGGGTTCGATTCCCGGGCCGGGCTCTTTCTGCATGCAGTTTGCAGGTTGTCCCTGAGCATGCTTGGCCCTCTCCAGGTGTTTGGCTTCCTCCCACAGTCCAATAACATGTTAGCATTATTGGCTTCTCTTAATCCTCCATAGCTGTGAGTGTGTTGGTGCATGGTTGTGTGTCTTTGTGTGTCTCTGTGTAAACCTGCGACAGACTGGTGACCTGTCCAGGATGACCCGCCCCTCACCCATTGACAGCTTGAGATAGGCACCGCCCTCACCATGACGCAGACAAGGACTAAGTGGGAGAAAATGGATGGAATTCACAATGGAAAGCATGAAAAGTCAACTATAGCTATTTAAGCTCATAAAACAATTTTTGCAGGTTACAGAGTAAATTAATAGAAGTGGAAATATTCATCCAAATGTTTTTGTTCTCTCTGTAGTTGGAGCTGCTGTACCGAGCTGCTCTACTAAACAAGGTTGGTTAATTTCCTGTTTTATACTGATGTCTTAAAGGGTATTTTAGCCGTCTGATTCAGAAGTCTTAAAAGATTACATTTCATACAGCAATAGTGCAGCTGAGGATTTATTGTTTTGGAGCCCTGAGAAGGTCAAAACTAAGCAGCTGTTTGTTATTTTCCCTCCTCCCAGCTGCTCTGACTGTGAGTCCCAGAAGATCTCAGTTCTTTGAAGGAGACTCTGTGTCTCTGAGCTGTGAGGAGAACAACAGCTCTGCTGGATGGACTGTATGGAGGAACACAACCACAGGAACCAGGACTCAGTGTGAAGATGGATGGGGGGAACCAGCTGGTTCTACCTGTAACATGAATTACATTGTCCCAGAAGACAGTGGAGTTTACTGGTGTTGGTCGTCCAGAGAGGGAGCAGCCAGCAGCAGCATCCAGCTCACTGTCACTGGTAAGATCAGACTGTGGAGTTAGTGTTGATGAAGCTGTGTGGAAATGGATGA